TTTATTACACATTTTAGATGTTTACGCATTTTAACACACATGCGATCTGCATAAAATTATCATATTACACATTTATGTGTGTTTAAATAACACAGATAAGCGTGTAATCTTACAATTACACAGAAAAAATGTGTTAAAGTAACACACATGGATTTGCAGTGTAGATACGTCTGCTACGTACATACGTCTAATGGCCCCTGCCTTTAACGGTATTCGCGCGCACGGGGATACGGTAAATCCGCTCGACCGCTATACCTCTCGACGTATCTCTCTCTCTCTCTCTTTCTTTCTCTCTCTATCTATCGTAGAGAGAACAAAAATATACCCACTACACCACGGCGAGAACGTACGCGCCGCGAATTCCCAACAAAAATAAACGTTTCCGCGCGTCCGGGAGAAACGGCATTGCAGCGCGGTGAACCCCATGCCATGCCAAGCTCGCGTAATAAAGCTCTGGATTTCGAAAGCGGGAGGAATATCTTACGGCCGGTGTGTACGCTGCACGGCTTCGATTTAAAACGCGCTTGCGGTCGCGAAAAGATCCCCCGAGATCGTTTCTCTCGCAATCCACTGACGGTCGTGAATTGCCGTTGTGTGAAGTTTTTTTACAGGTCTCGCCACGAGAATTAAAACTAAATTCTCTCTGTACCTCTCTTCAAGAGAAGAGACAAAAATTGGATGTAATATTATAAAAAGAAGTAGAATAAACTTTTTTTAATTAAAAGGTATAACATGTGATCCGCAATTTTTTCTTTCTTTTTTTCAGAGAATTTCGGAACTTGTGGAAAAGTACAAATGATGTTTTACTGTTCTTCATAACGTGAAGCAGATGAATTCCCTCGACATAAAATGAATGATACGCGAATGATTCAAAACGTGCGAGAATTTTTTCGTCGAATGCGCTTAATTTTCCGTGGCTTTGGCGAAAAATCTCGTTATTTCAATACGCGGAATGAAGACAATTCATAAAAATACACAGGATTCCTCTCTCTTGTTTCAATTTGTATTAATATTTTAGCTGATATCGTCTTTCCCAAAAGAGGTAAAAAATCCACGATACAGATACACATATAATAAAAAATTTTTATAAATAAATTTTCTTCTATTTATACTTGCGTATTAAATCAAAATTGTAATTTAAAATTTCAAACTGTAAAATATTTTTTCAATCGATAAATGAAGAAAATGTTTGTAATTTATTTTTGTGCTTACTCCGATCGATCTGCCAATCAGGTCTGCGGAATCGCGATACGTGTGTTGAAATGCGCCGCGACGAGATTTTCGCTTTTTCCTGCGCGGAGAACAGTTATTGCGATCTGAAAACTATTGCACGGATAAACTCCGACGTAATAGAGTCGCAATTGTAAGTCAAACGGCCGCGGTAGTATTGCGCTTAAGTTTCGACAGTTTTACTGGCGCAGGGGATTTTGCGGCGGGACGCACCGTGGCCAGAAGTCGCGAAAGCTGGGTGCGCGGTTTAAAGGAAAATAGAACACGGCGCATTTTTACCGAGAGTTAACTCCTCCTCGGCACCGACTTTATCGCGTCGCCTTTTATTGCTACTGTATTCGAAGTTACTCGACTTTACGCTCTTATAAAGGAGCGATACCTGCGCTTTGTTCGCCGTTTGCGGAGAGAGCAAACATTTCGTAACAATCGCAAAATATTTATTCCGCCAACAAAATGTGTTGATAAGCACATGTAAGTGCCGTTCCCGTCAAAGAATAATCAGAATAATTTTACTACCAAAGAGAAGCATTTCTTCGCTCACAATGTATCTTCGAAAACACCCCTCAAATGTCTCGGTATTCTTGTACCGAGCTGATATTTCAGACACTGGTTTCTTTCATGATCATAAAGACTCGAAATAAGAGTAAGACAAAAATTGTGGCCTTTATTACGAAATTTCTAAAGCGGCGATATATCTAAATTTATTTTGTGTTTGATTTATCGCAAGTGATCCCCTTGAATCTGACACGCTCAGATTTATGTTAGATGAGAACAATTTATTTCTCCGATTCTTTGGACGTTTGATATCTCGCAAATATAACGGTCGATTTACCATTAAATTGTCGACTTTAAATCGCTGTGAAACAAATTAATTTGTAAAAATCAAATAAATCTGTGAAATCTTTTCTGATTAAACATTCTTTTTAATAAAGTTCACGAACGTCGATTTTTTTCTTTTCAGTCCAATTATGACAACGTTCGGAGAGACCATTTTTCACTGAAATATCCCGATCTTTAACCAAACGGAAAGCTCGGCTCGACTGACATTGAACATGTTATGTCGAATATAATATTCGGAATAAAATTCCACCAATATGTATAATATATATGTCAGAAGCTCATGGATCTAGATGGAATGATCGATAGGTTTCGATCGCATTTAACGGGTTTCGAAGAGAGATCGCAGCGATTCGTCGTGACTTGCGAAATTTCGGAGACGAAATAGCCCGTCGTTATTTCGACGATAGGTATCGATTATGACGAACGATCCTTTTCGTCGGGCCAGCGGTTGGTATCGACGTGTATATTTTGACGCTTATGGAAAATCTTGGACAGCGCGTTTATGAAGGATGGCGGACAGGAAGCGAGATCGATTAGTCCACTTTGTCGTGGTTCATCTCTTTTCCGGGACGATAAACGTCATTTATAGAGCTCGCCCCACGCGATACATCGATCTCTTTTAGCCGCAGAACATGACGAAGCATTTTTTGCAAGCTTAGAGAAACTATAGCGTTATAACCGTCTTTAATAAATGCTTTCACGTGCAATTTATAACTAGAATTAAATCGACGATTGAAAGAAAAACTGGAAAGTTGTCTTTTGATTTTTACTTCGCGAACATGGCAAATCCTATCGAAGAGCAAGTTGAGAGTTCAATGTTGATATTTTTCCGATGTGGAGAGCTCGCTATTTCTCTTGCACTATTTTCAGTACGGCTCGTGTGTAAGTTTGGAGAGTTGAACGATGCAAAAGTCAAACGATGGTAAATAACATGTACGTGGAGGGCGATAAAAACCGAGCGTAGAATTAAATATGTTATACGAAGTACGTTCGCGCTGTCGTCCGAAAGTAAGCGGAAAAGTGGACAGTGTGTTCTCGTGCCAGGAATAATCTCGAAAATATTTTTTTGCCGAGATTTTCAATTTATATCAGCCTCTTGCGCCGCGACTCGACGAAGGCGAGTTTTCAATTAAAAATATCACCTCCGCCATATGTATACGCGTCGCTACACTCATTGCACACACAAGTATGATTGCGACAAAGCTGTCCCGTATTTTTGCGGAACATACTCCGTATTCCAGAAGGAAACACATTGCGCGCATTCAAAAAAAAAAAAACATGCTGACATAGGTGACATTTTGTCAAGAATCACGCGTTCCGATTTATACGATGCGGCGCAAGGATGTTATAGGAAGCAATTATTAGATTTGCGAATGCATCGAAGTCGCGAGACAAATTGCTACATTTAGAATCGATAACAAATATATAAAATCTCGGCAAATTGTTCAACGAATCTATCCACCGACGGCGAAATGTAATAGATAACAACGTAATTTTCTTGCGCGCGATATTCCGCGGCGATAATCCGTAATAATACGCAAAACGCGGTTTCGTTAACCTCTATGTTGCCTTGTGATTCCAATCAGTGCCGCATATTTTATCGTGTTTCACGCCGAGTTAATTTGTTCGCGCCAAAAACCAAACCATCCAAGGGAGGAGGCTGTAAATTGGAAGTGAAAATTTATACAAGAGTAAGTAAAATTATTTTTTAAATCGAATGGAGAAATTGACAATTAACCGGCAAACAAACTGGAGCATAAGTTATTTATATCGCGAATTTTGAAATTAATATCGGATGATCCGCTGTATAACGATCTGGGCGCGGAAAAGAAGAACGACCGGTAGAGAACTGCAGGTGGCGGCGGAACTTTTATTCTCGTCGCGGTCTTAAGAAATCTTTTCCGAGATCTTTAGAATACAGTTGGAAGCATCCGCGCCGGGTTCGCATCTGCAAGAAATGGATCGACTTCCTTCCTCCGGTTGGACTGGCACATCGCGTGACACTTTGGAGGATTACACGAGCTATAAATCATCGCGAGACGCAGCCGCTGTTTTAAATATTATTAATGGTCCGAAGATATATAAGATACTGTAAAGATGTGCAGATATAAATTAATATCTAAAATTCTATGTCGAATTCAGTTCTCACATCTCAGTTCTATTACTCGTTTTTTCAGAAACATCGAAATTGCAGTTTTTCTTGTATAACGCAGACTTTAGGTTTATTACAACAATTATATATGTATATACACATATATAATTGTTGTAATAAACTTAAAGTCTGCGTTAGTAAAAAAGTTCTAAATAAACCTTAAATGTGAATTAAAAGCTATCTTACATATTAAAATTTTATGGAAAAAAGTTCATTTTTGAATAATTATATCACAAATTATCCGTGCAAAGTTGCCCAGATTCGCACGGATAATTAGGACAGATAATGCCGGTAATTATGCGAAATATAGCACCGAACTTTCCTGAATTTCAAGAGAAGACTTTCGGAACCGTGTCTCATGCTCAAAATTCTATTCGACGAATGCGCGTCTCGTTTCTTCGATATCGGACTGAGAACGAATTTCAAACGCGATTTCTGTCTTGATCTTTCGTCAAAGAGACAGCTGTTGACGTAATGTTGAGAAGATCCGACAGCTTCCGGCCAAAGTGCGTGTTCGCCATCGTCGCGGAGTTTGAATAATTTCGCCAACTAAATATTCTCGCTTGTTCTCTTTAATTTCCATAAATTCGTTTACCCGCCGCCCAAGAAGAGAAGAAAATCTCACCAAGTTTGGAGATACTTTCTTGTCCTAGATCGCGCAAATTTTTATTTTCGGGAAGTTTCTCGTCCTCGACGTAATCAGAAGAGACAAGTTGTTCAGTCATTTGCGGAGTTTACTCCACAACCTGTGAATGTAACATGTCTGTTTTTTTATGTACATAAAAGAATTCGCGAGAGAAGGATAAATTGAATAGCAATGGAAATTATTTTTCTTAAAGTGACATTTTTCTTTCTTCTGAAGTTTGTCTCTTTTTCCTTTTTTGCCGCAAAATTTTTCTCTATGAAACTTTGGTAAAACCAGTTTTACCAAAATTTCTGTCGAATTTTGATGAATCAGAGAACTTTTGCAATTCATTTTTATTACAAAATGCGAATAAAGATATTGAGAGAGAGAGAGAGAGAGAGAGAGAGAGAGAGAAAGAGAAAGAGTAAAGACATTAAAAGCATCTCTTTATGCAACTGAATTTACAAATTTGCTCGCGTCTCACGATTATGTCAATGTGTCAGCATAAGAGACGATATAATATTTTGTTCGTTGAATATTTTATTTATTCGAATTGCCATGATAGAGACCACACGGCTCGATACGGTGGAACGACGTTATATTCATTTATGCATAAAAATACGCATCAAGACCGGACGTCACTCGTCGTTTATCTCAATGCAATTCACGTCGACCGTAAAACATGCGCTTTAATTATGACGCTAATGGCGAATGTGATTAAGTCGATAATGAAATGCCGCGCATAATTATTAACATTACCGCGTTTAGCGTCATCCTAGGCAAAATTATTGGATTTTCATGTCGGGCTTTATTGGGGTGCATGATCGACGAAGATCGATCGGGATTTACACGAGGCATTGACATCTCGCGGCAACTGCAGATTTAATCTTGTTTGTGAATGATTAACTGCATATATTCAGATACTTTAATAAATAATAAAAACATCAACAAAAAATATATTAAAAAATAAAATTAACAAAAAAAAACCGATATTATTTTTACGTATTATTTTTACGATATTTTTTTCTCGCTAATATCATATAATTCTCTGTTCTTTTTATGCATATATTCCAAATTTATATAATATTTTACAAAAACTAGCACAACACAGGCGCGCGCTACACGCACGATGTTATTGTTTTTATTTTAACGTGTTGTGCCAGTAAACACAACCTGTCACCGCGATGACAGCTAATATATACGTCTTACAAATCATATAATGCACATGATGTACATATGAGAGATGTCAGGAATAACGCGTGAAAATCAACCCAAAAAAATAGAAAGAAGGGAAAGTGGAAAAACAACATGTGACTAAAGTCACGTGTCTTTAAAAACGTGACTAAAGTAAAGTCACGTAACAGGAGAAAGAATAAAAAAGAAAATATTATATATCACCTTCTCCCTGTCACGTGACTTTAAAAAGCGCAAGAATACTTTTGTTTTTTAGTGTTTTGATCTGAAGCGATTTAGACTTAAACGAAAGTAATCGGTGCAGTCATTCTTGAGATAGTGCTCCATGAAAATCTTCTCATTTCTCAATTACATGAATTTTGCGTATAAGAGGCACGCGACTTCATTGCGCGTGAACTTGGCGCGAGGCATTATCGTGCGTCTTGATATGTACGACATGAATCGAAAAACACATCCAATCAGCATCGAAATAAAAGTGACAATAATCAATATCGAGAGAATCAATTGTGATTATTTCCACACAATTTTTCTGGTAGTACTAGCACAGGCACGTGCTACGCGCACGCTGTTATTGTTTTTATTTTAACGTGTTGTATCAGTAAACACAACCTGTCATCGCGATAAAATATGATGACAGCTAATATATACGTCTTACAAACCATATAATACCCATGAAGTACAAATGAGAGATATCAGAAATAACACATGAAAATCAAACTCAAAAACTAAAAAAAGGGAAGAGTGGAAAAACAACACGTAACAAGGAGAAGTAGAGAAACACCATATGACTAAAGTCATGTGACAAGGAAAAGAGTAAAAACGAGAATATTATATATTATATATCATATATAATATTCTATATCTATATATAATACACACACACACATACCGTAATCACGTGACCAAAGTCAGTGACCCCGCCAAAGTCGCGCGGCCGAGGTCAGTAACCCCGCCAAGGTCGCGCGGCCGAGGTGAGTGACCCTCCCTCCACCAAGGCCGCGCGGTCGAGGTCACGTGTTGTTTTTCTACTCTTTACTCAAAATCGCTTTTCTGTCATTATTTACTCTCTCGATCTTACCGATTCGATTTGACTCGACTCGACTTGATCAACCAACCAATCGGCAACGCGGAAAGGAGGCAACAATAGATGCGATACATTCGACTCAAAAACGCGCACTTTGCGGTACACATGGATTTTTTAATGAGAGATAATAAAAATGATAATAGTTACCTGATGGCGTTGAATATCTCATGAAAGCCGGTGCCTTGATGACTGGCGACGTCGCAAGTCGGAAGAGGATGCAACAGAGGTAGTCGATGACATAGGACGCTATCACTATTTCGCTTGCTGCTGCCGTTGCTGTCACGATCTCGATCATTTTGCGGCAGAGGCCCATTGCCGGTGCCGGGCGCCGGACCCAGACCTAGGCCCAGAGGAAGGCGAGGCAAGGTTGCGGGTCGCGTAAGACTACCGTAAGCCGCTAACGCACCTCTCGGCAACGATGAGTAGCAGCGATTTAACGGGAGGGTGCCAAGAGTGCTAGAAGCGCAACCGCTGCTGCCGGAACCAGAACCTGAACCTGAGTAAAATTGTCGCGTTAAAGTAGACATCGTCAAAGGCGTAACCATTCAATTAATTGCAAATAAAAAATTAATGCGGAATCAATGATCTTTTACTCAATATGAGCGTGACTGCTGCCACGAGTAAATTTGTTTAGTAGTTTATTTATAGCGAGAAATATACTTTAATTGTGTGATGAAATTGAATAGCCTTACGAACTGGCAATATATCGTAGTGGACTTTTTCACCGATCATTCTAAATTTTCAAGTTTTTCCTACTTTAATTAAAATGTAAATACGTGTAATACAATATATAATCAATTTATGATTCTCTCCTCCAGTTATGTACATATTGACATTTTACTTGTAAGCAATATGAACCGCAACGAAGGGAGATTACCGTAATTCTAGTTCCCTCAAACACTTCCCTCAAATTCGATCCAACAACAGTAAACGACAACCGAGCAATGTCGGTTGGATTTCAACGTGCCGTATCGTTTCCGCCTTATTCAATGCTAGAGACGCTTCCGTTCGTCTCAGATTACTCGGTACACATACAAGGCGTGTGCCTGGTCTAACTCGTCGGATTAATTACGCGCCGTCTACTGGGTGACGAGAAAGTCGTGTCTGCCAACCGGCAGCGAGGATTTCCGACTTTGCTCGCAACGAACGGACAGTATCTCGTCCTTTCATCTCGCTCTCGTACGTAGTCCTTGGAGAATTTCCAAGTTAAGCTGTTAATAAGTGTTAACTTTTGTTCATAAAGTTCACGCGCGCAAACTCTCTCTCAAGCGCATACTTAGACACGCGCGATGCAAATGTGTCGTTTTCCCCTTTCCTCTCGCCGTCGTTGGGAATTAAATTGATGGACACCGCCGGGATACTGGCGGAGTTGCGCGCGTAATAGGAAGTTACGTCGTAACTCGATCGTAAATTCGCGTTACGTCGTCGCGCGATCATTCGAATGTGATGATTAATCTGACGAGATAACGTACTCGACCATTTCATTGTTAATCGCGATGATCATGACGTAGTGTGATGATTGTGATAATGATGTTGTTTATAACTCTTGTTTCTATTCTCGTGAAGTTTCCTTCTATTACTCGTGAATACATAATATATATTTTTAATTATTATTTCTCATTTGAGCGAGATGTAACAAAAGTTTCTTACAAACTCATTAAAATTTATTATCTTTTGAATTACAGAAAGAAAACAAAGAGAGAGAGAGTGTGTGTGTGTGTGTGTTTGATGCGTATATAAATTCATTTATAACATTATTCCTAACCAAGAGACTTGCAAATGCATAAGTCGATATTAATTATTATTCGTCTTATACACAGAGATAGATATTTCTTGCCTTATAAGTTGCATTAAGTTCACGATCGCGACAACAACGAACACTTTTTACTCTACCGACCGATCAATGTGTTACGTTGCTTCGAGTTTATATCTGCGTATCGCACTGAATTAATTATAATAAAATCCGATCGGCGTCAACAACCTAGTTGGGGTGATCGGTAACAAGAGAGTGAAAAAAGCAATTTTGCTGCATCAATAGCTTATGCTTTGCTGTCTAATTTGCATTTCATATTTCTCGATTCAATGTGAATGCTTTGTTAGTATAAGTGACAGACAATTTCGATCATCGCTTTTTATATTCTCGATAGAAATTCGTTATTTTTCTTGTCTACATTAAACACATACGAAAGCTCGATGTTAAATATAAATGTAAACTTGACGATGAGAAACAACGAACACTATATGAAAACCTCTTTTATCCGATACCATCAACGATCGATATATTGTTTGAAGCAATCAAAGAAACGCGTACGGTACCGATCTCGAGACGATTCAATGTTATTCAAGGCGTTTTAACGTGATTGGATGCCTCTGGTAGGCGAAAGACCAGTGAATTCGACGACCCAGAAAGCGGTTTATTGTAGCGGATGGCGACCGAGAGGGATTTTCGAAAACAAAATAAGAGAAGAGACGATTAGAAAGGAATGTCTGAGAGTATACGCGAATCTTTAGGCACAATATTACTCTCTTTTGAGAACATACGGCCGATCGAGCAAATCTCAAATATTTTAGGAAACGCTAAGGGAATTCGAAATATCATTCGATAATATATCATTTTGATTCAAGTTTTTTAGAAATTGAAAAAAGCCTTTGAGATTGTTCTGGAAGGTTACAATTGTGTTTATCTCGTGCAATATTTTAATTAAAATATCGTTAGTTTACTAGAATTATTGTTTGTTATGCTTTTTATAAAAATGCTTTTTTGAGGAACTGTAATTATAATATACGTGAAAAATTACGAGCGGTTACTATTCATACGTTTAATAAATAAACAGTACCCCTCACGCAGTATTTTAGCAGAGTTGATAAGCAAACTCTGGACTAACATAATAATCGTTAATCGCACAGACCTTACCACACAGCTCGAAAGTTGTAACGGCGCTTAGTCTCGTTTCGAGTCATTGTGCGACCAAAATAGTGGTGTCATTAGAAAAACTTTGAAATTAACACCTACGTAATAATAATAATACTAAAGAGAGTATTGTCTTTTCTGAAACTTTTGAAACCTTTTTGTTCGAAACAATGAAATGTGTATCTTTAGATTATAATCCTTTTCAACAATTTTATTTAATAGAATGCGGTTAATTAACTTCTCTTACATCGTGAAAAACTATTCATGACTCTGCAAAGACTCTTTTCAGCCGAAGAAAAAAATGTTTGCCAGAGGAATGAACACAGCAAGGCAAGTGATTCCCTCGGGAATACGCGAGTAATCTCACGCGGTGCAAAAGTCGACGACAGGTTTTCCAGCGAGAAACGCAGCCACTTTAAGTCGACGAGCGTCCAATCGATTGGCAATTTCGCGGGAAGAGAGAGAGAGAAGCCGTTTGCGTACTTCGGCGAGCGAAACGACTCTCGCTGGCTCTTGTAAACGGATTGGTTCACCCCAGATAATGTACGCCGCGGGTGTCTGTCTGTAATTGCTTCTTTTTCGAAGCTGCAAATGAACGATGGCGAGAAGGGAAACTCTCTGCATGGCGCGTGCGTGTGTGTGTGAGTTCCTGCGTATTTATCGAGTATTTCAATCTGATCAAAACAATAATATACGATAGATTTGATATATTTCATAGAAAATTCATTGAGACAATACAGAAATCGCACACTCAACTATTATATCGATTAGTGAAAATCGGAACGATTTTGTCGACGCAATTTATTGAGGTATATTTTTGTGGCTTAAAAACAGAGATAATTGGTTTTTATATTACAAAAGACAGTCTTTATAAGAGAGTAAAGTGATATTCGTTTGTAAAGTTTTTAATTCTAATATAAAAATTTAATTTTAATATTTTTTAAATAATATTACAATCGGATAAAATAACTACAAAGTAAAATTGCACAGAAATTGAATTCTGTCAGCGCAAAAACTGTTAAATGTTTTTAATAAAAATACTTTCCGAATATTCTTGTAATCTGCCTCTACTAATTTGCAAATGTTCTTTTTCAGATATATATCGCGAATTGTTTAAAATATTTATTTATATCACAGAAATAAAATTTTTGTTTAAAAGGGACACATCCGGAAAATCGGATCGATAAATCGAGCGGATCACGCACACACAATAATGGCAAGGTTTTACCCATACTGATGCCAGAGCTGGACGGATCCTCATTCTTGGAGCCCCAACTGCCAGCCAGATTGAGTGCCAACAACGGCCGCTCCTTCAGTAGTTCGGCCACCGAGGCCAAGCCTTCGCATCCGCAGCCTAAATGGGGCAAGTGCAACGCCTGCACTTGAATGCAGCCGCGAAGTGCCTCGCAGACTCGGGACACTTGCTCGCCGGACAGATTCATGTCGAGCACAAGACGTGACAGGCTGGCGGAGGCGTGACTCAAGCCGCGACAAAGAGCGTTTACCACGCACTCGAGTCTGAAATCAATCATGTTAATGAGAGTATTAATGAGACGTGTATCGTCGCTTTTTACTTTCATGTAGTTTACCGTTAAACGATTCTTGATTAATAAACAACTAAAAGAGAAACGGAAAGAAGGCAATTAAACTAACATAAATTCACAGAAAGATTGCGGTTTTAGTTTAACATAACATATACACACGCAGATAAATATTCACGAACAGATAAGTTTTACAATTTATGATGCAAATTATCCGCCATAAATTGCGGACATTTTTAGTGCAAATTTCATACGGATTATATATGTCATATCGGTCTATTCGGAAAGTGCGCTTAACATTATGGCTGTTACATGCGCTTGGATATGAATTATGCCAAATGGAAAGCGCATGGGAATTTCCATTTCGGCGTTACGTTACGCGGCTATTACATTCCGCCAAAGTTGAAAAAAATCAACCATGGATTCGATGTAAATAACGTCGGCGATTATGTGAGCACGGCATTTTCGAAGCTTTTACGTCCGGATTACACGATATACATATAATTCTAAATGTAACCGCGCATCCGCGCGAAGCACACGACCGATGTAAATTCGGTCGGCGACGAGAGTTAGCGGCGCGGAAGTTTGGCGGACTCGTCGGCGTATATTTATGCATGTGTAATGCGCATTTCACGCTGTCTATTCGCAGCGTTATTTCTCCGGTGGATTTCAACGCGCGCGCACGGATACGCATTATGCAAAGTCCCGGCGCTCCTCCAGGGAACAGTAAGCGAGAACCTGGATTTTCTCGCACGCGGGATACCAACAGCGAGAAGCGGGAAGATATTCGCATGTTGCATCGAGCACAGAGTTGAAAATTGCCGTCAGTCAGTGGCGTAACTAAGGCTTAGAACTTAAGGACGAAGAAAACAGGGAAAAGAAAATTCTTTCAGTAATATACGTGCAATCTGCGCTACATATGAAATATATAAAAAATACAGATTTGAAATAAAGACTATATATAATATAAATGTAATATGAAATTCTGTCTATATATTTTTTTACTTGTTCATTTTCTATTATTTATTTTCTTCTTCCCTATTTTTATTTTCTCCCGTCTTACATATTTTACCTTTCTTTTTTTACATTTATATTTTTCCTATATGTGTAAAATCTTTTTTTTCTTTTTTGCTTCTTTTTCAATCATGATTTCTGCTTTATCTCATTTTTTATTTAGCTGCTACGCCACTGTTACTATCGGAGCTTAAGCGCGGAATTGGTCGTTGCGAATTCGAGACGCAAGCGAGAAAATTGCGGCCGCAGCTCGAAAGCAGCGTATTCGCAAAAAGCACAGGAAGTTGCAGTTAAATGCAGTTGCAATAACGACAGAATTCTCATAACTGAATCGTGATATTAATTCAACATTCGCTTTACCTTCCGAAGTCGTTTGAAAAAACTCTAAGGGAAAGAATTTTTAGTTAATAGTACTATAAGCAGAAATGAGACGAGAACTCTTCAGGAATATTCAAGAGTCGACGTGATCGCCTGATCGATTCCGTGTAAAGAAACGGAAATAGAGTCTGTATCTTCAAAACGCGTCAAACACGAAGTAGACGGTCGGCGTTATGAAAAGGCGACAGAATGAAGCGTTAAGTGCAATCGGGACTTGGTGGGGTGAAAGTGGAGTTGAAACAAGGAGAACGTCTCGATGCGAAACAATGAGCTGGCGGTCGTATCGTCGACAGAGAAAGAGAAAGAAGAAAAAAGAGAAAGAGAGAGAGAGAGAAAGAGAGAGAGAGAGAGAGAGTGAGAGAGAGAAAGCTTTCTGCTTCGAGGCAAATGGTAGTTAGGTCCTCTTTTATCCCTTGGTTCCTCGCAGTTGCATCACGGAAAAGATAGGTACTGCTCTCGTGCTGTTCTCGTACAAGGTTGAAGAGGCAGCGCGAGAGAAGAGTTGAACATTCGCGTTGTAAGAGAAGAGCAATGACGAAACGCAGAGTGGACGAAAGCTCAGTTATAAACGGGATCGAACAAAATACCACAAGTGAAAAAAATCATTTTTCGCGTTGCAAATATGTCGAGAGATCTTTTTTTTCGGAAAAAGAGTCGGAATAAAAATGGTTGGAAATGATTTTGGCATGAATTGAAGTGTTTATTTTCAATCATCTTCGGCTTGTCAAATTCGATTTTGTTCAATCGATTCGAAATCTGGTGTATATTTTTGTGGAAAAAAGATCAAACATCGCACGTTACGGGAAAAAGAAATAAAACCATGATATATATACAACACGAACTCAGATAAAGAGCTCAGAACTCGAAGCAAAGGGGTTGAACCCGGAGATTCAATAAAGGAGAAACACAGCGAGAGAGGACAAGAAACGGCGAATGAGCGAATTCAGTCGCGGATTTTAAAGCTCGTCTCTCGTCGTTTTCTAATTTTCCATCGTGGCTCTTCCCTTTTCTTCTTCGAGCTTTCTTTTCCAAGTATCCGTAGTTACTATCTGCACATACTCGCTGCAAAGAGTGCACTCTCATTGTTATATGCCGTTTGCGTTTGTACCTTATATACCGAAAAAACTGGAACTCGCGATACGTCCGGAATATATAATCGAGAATGCGACGTGTGTTGTGCCTGACAAAAATTTCTCGAGATAAGAGATAAAAGATAGGTCCTCCTTTGTAAAGTTTGCTTTTTTATTTTTTTTAAGGATGTAGAACGCTCTGTATCGCGAACGAAGAAGAATCAGTAATCGCAATGATGTTTCATAGACGATATAGAATTCCACGTGTGTCTGCTCCATCTCGAATTCGAAGTCCACGCTACAGCAAGTTTCTCGACAAACGAGAAGTTCAAGAACCCGGTTGCAGAAATACTTTCGCTGTTTCCTCGGGGACACGAATGCGGAAAGTGAGAGTAAAGCGCGGCGGGAATTGAAAAATATAATATCTAGAACAAAGGCAAACGATGTTTGAGAGCGCATATAAAATGAATAAGCGAGTTAATCAAAAAGAGATCGTCAACAAACAATTAAAATCGTCATCATTTAGGAAAACAACGGAGGCGTAAAGACGAAAAGAAGCAACGCGAGAAACTCTCTGTTAAAAGGTTTATTTTAAAGAAGCTCTCTCTCTATACACTCACACACACACACACACAATTGCATTAGTAAAATAACAAGAAAATAACGTCTTTTTTATTAACGTTTTTCACGACATTTTGATCACGATCTCGTGCAATTTTTACTTCTAAAAACTATATACTGGCACAATTTTCTTGGATCGAAAACCAGGAACGATTTTCCGCAGCGACAGCGACGAAAGCTCTCACATGTGCGAGGAAACCAAGCGCGACTATGCAAACGTATATTCATCCGGTTTTTGCTTAAAGTAAACACGCTTTTTCGACGTCTGCCGTTTCCTCGGGGAGCGTATACAAATATCCGCACGATGGACATTTTCGTCGCGCCTTTTTCGCGCGACAAAACAAATTTCTCAGTTTTGATTCAGTGGAAATCGCACGACAAAAATTTTGGAGAGAGACGCTCGAAACGAGTTTAACGATAAATCCTGATGATTTACATGCTGTATGTAACGACGGGTCAAAAGTTTATCATGTTCATGAATATAATGGACTCGCGAGAAGACTATTTATTTGTGTATACATAATATGACGAAACTCCATAAGTTCTATTTTGAATAGTTTATACAAGTCAAATAACTTATTCTTTTGCGGAGAAATTATATGGTTTCTTTACAAAAACAAAACACCGACGATAAATCTAAAGAGCGATACATGTTTAGAGACACACAATTTTTATTATACTTACTTCACTTATACTTTTCTTTCTCTTTTCCTTTGGCTTTTATCTTTCACATAGAAGTCTAAATATAGAACTTCGCACGTCTTTTCGTTTATCGCGCTTCTTTTTGCAGCGCGGAAGAGCAAATATTCCTCGTCGACCACTTGTCCTGACCCGACCTCATATACGATCGAACGGACAAGCTAGCTTTCTGTAATAACTCTTCGTCGTCGAGGCTGTCGACGGCGCCGCGCCGTATCGAGCGTCGTCGAAGCACAATAACGCAGACACGTTCGTCAGGTTCTTTATCCTTCCGGCTATTGAGTCACGCGCGCGCGTATCGATTCAGCGACTCGACTCGTAAAGTGATCGGATTCTTTTCGACGCGAAAAGTTGATTGAGAGGCACGCGACGAGACGAAACTCACATCGTAGAAATTTTAGACAAAACTTTTATGAAGAGAATACAAAAGAAGAAAAACAACAAGAGAGTGATATAACAAATAACAAATAAAAAATAAAGTATGTAAGAAAAGAAAAAGTAGGAATATTATATATTAGAGTACTATTTTGCCGATAAAACGTTTGTATATCCCGACAACTTCATTGTAAGATTGAGCTCACATCATATAGCTCATTTTCCCGAAACGCTTAGTTGACAATCTTGCGACAAGTTGTTCGAAACTTGCCGTCCACGAGAATATCGTGGCAAGTTGAAGAGCAATCCGGAGTTCACCTCGCCAAATAAATATAGATACTTGTAAAACGACTCACCTGTCATGAGCCGCCTCCTCGAGACAAGTGATGACAAGCTCAAAGTCGTTGAGTTTCTTCTTGCCGAGTACGCTCTTCAGATGTCCAGCCAGTCGCTGCGCCTCGTCCGCCGGAAATTCCTGTCCCAGCAAAGACGTGATCCTGACGAGTTTAACGCTCTCGTTGCTGGCGAGTGCGTCAAAGAAATCGTCCAGATATCGTGGATCCGATCCCCGTTCCACTTGGAACACCACCTCGAGCGCTTCGAGCGTGCAAGCAGAACTTTCTAGAATTCTGGCCCATCCTTCTAACTCCAGAGGAGACGTATGTACCAGCGGAGCTGGGGGTCTTTCGTTGGGCGCGGGTCCGAAGCCGGGACCGGCTCCAACCAGTCTGCAGACTGCCGAGATATTGCCGTCAGACGCCCCGGCCGCTTTCAGCAACGAGAACACAGTTCTAGGTGGCACTTCAAGCGGACACAACTGATTCAGGATCAAATGTGTCTTCGGGCCCAGTAGACCGGCTAGATGACCGATAATGCCTGAAGGCAAACCTTCTAATTCGCGACGTAAAATATTGGCATATTGCGCTACTGATGTGAGATAGTACGCCGCGAGAAATTCAGCCACTGCCAAGTGGATAGGCGTGTAAAGTTCAGTCTTGCGTCTCTGACCAAAAGTCAATCCTCTCGTCAGAAAACCAAATCGAGTGACTTCGATGCCGCCGCCACGTGCGCGCAGCTCGGCCTCCGTGTAACAACACCTGCCTTCTCGTAACGCAGCCAGAGACACCTTGCCAAAGTCCTCGAGACGTTTCCTGCAGTGGCCCGGAATCTCCTCGTTATAAGGAATTGGTGGCTCTAAGCTTCTCTTCACAATGCACTTCACCGCTGCTTGCACGAGAGCGCTTGTTTCGGTCGGCAGGCTTCCGGAGTCCTGATAAAATAGAGTCGTGTGTTTATCAGCGTTCCAAGAGACAGAAAGAAAGACAGAGAAAAAGAGATTACATTGAGCTGATATTTTGAGCACATTTGAACGAAAACACAACAAATAGTATTTATAAACCAATAACAATTAATTTACCTGATATAAACAGCAAAGCATGATCCAGCCGAGCGGATGTTGGCCGAGTTGGCGTACAGACTGCGGTTGCACATTAAGCGCTTCGAGAAACTCGCAGGCCTTCTCGGCGATGTCGTTGTGAATGAAGTAGGCCACGCAGAGTCGCTCAACGTAAAGCCACTCAAGACCGGCCAAGTGAATCCTGCGCTGAACCAGAGGCGCGAGGGCGATCGAGTTACTGGGCGAGCACGTAACCAGAATTCTGGCGTCAGGGAAAAGTCGACCTTCCAGCAGATCAACCGCGTCACCGAGCGACGCTCGTCCACCTACGCACTCGTCGTACCCGTCGAGGACGAAGAGCACGCGATCTTCCATCAGGTGCAAGGTGCGCCACACCTGGCTGACCGCGTCACCCAACGCGGCCGTTCTCGGGAACAATTCCCGCGCGAGATAATTCAGGACGGGACTGCCACGAAGCTCGCGCAGCGGTACGATAAACGCCAGCGCGGGACTGTCGTTCTGGGTGGCCCACTGGTGCAATAATCGCAAGCAGAGAGTGGTTCGTCCGCTACCAGGGCCACCCTCTACGGCGACGCGTCGCGGCGCCTCGGACACGGTACCGTCGCTCAGCTAGAAATTGAGATTTGTTTCGTCAAGAGACATGATTATTTATTCTTTAGAAAACCGAAGAAACACTTTGATTACATTATGTCACGCGACTTTACATTACAATTTTTGATGCAAAAATCGATACAGTTCTCGATCTCTTTTTATATTTTGACAAAAAGTTAATAATTTTACAAATTCTTGCACATCTCTTTTATTAAAAAGTTTTTTCCAATTTTTTTGGACAAGTTTCTAATAAGATAACAGATAGCAAAAGTGTTATAATTTCTCGACTATTCAGTCGCAGCACACATACAAACGACCGACAAGCGTGCGTGATTAAAACTTAACGCGTTTCGCGAGACGCAAAGTGGCACAGTTTAGGATATGCGTGGCAGACAATCGGCAGCCGATATTGGTAAACAGTCTCGATTCCGTAATCGATAATACCGTAATCCGTAGTACGCGAAACATACGGCGTTTGCCGGCCATTCACTCTGTCAGCAATAATCTATCCAGTCGTGCGTAGTGTACATACACACTCTGTCGGCTAATGGATAACAGCGCGCGGCCATTATACGTTGCGCAACTGTGACATTCGGTTGTTGGAACTCTGCGAATGAAAAAAAGTGTGCGCGGTACGGAATTTATTTATCTATCGAAAATATGTTTTCCAAACGATTTTCAGCCGATAAAATATATATTTGATTGAGGTTTTAACGAATGAAGTGCATATATGCACCTGTATATTATATCGACACACCTGTTCCAATATATCTGCCGTATCGCAAATACGCATACAATAACAGAACATCTAAACACACGACTATATACTAGCTCTCTTCTCTGTTCTCAGATCCGTTTGATTAATTTGATATTTTTTATTTCACAACTTTTTAATCGCTTGCAGTTCTATTCATCGCGTTTATTCGATATTTTATTAAAGCATTTATTTTTAACTGTTGTAACACTTCTTTTGTGGCAAAAATTACATTTCTGTTAAAATGAAAAAAAATAAAAAAAATAAAAATATACACAGTTTAAATGAAATAACTTGCTTCATCTTATCCAGTATGGATTACCGAAATATCCATTGTGTGACGCGAGATTTTGACAAAATAACGTCGACATATGAAGGATAGCTTGTTACCGAATAATCCGCCGGCCGTATTCCTGCGTCACACGGGATCTACCTATCAATCCTTCATATAGGGGCGCATTTGTTTCAGCCGCTTCTCTCACCGCAACCAATCTCGATTGAAAGACAAGAGAGGAAGCTGAACGAATATCGTTCGCGAGAACAGCGGACGAAGGCGTCGTCGAAAATAGCGACGGCGTCGCAATAAATCGTCTCTCGTTTTCCGGAAGATTAGAAAGTCCGCACAGGTCCGTAAATATTCTTCGATAAACTTTGAAGCGCGGAAAAAAGGATGTCGAGAATAGACTATTTTCACTTTTAAATTATTTGGTGGAATAAAATGGATTATTTAAATACGATTTAAGAGGAGAAAGCGAAGTAGTCAATTTTCCAGAAAAATATCAAATAGAGGGCAGGCAAATACGTGTCCTTCATAGTTTTCACGTAAACCGTGTAAATTTGTTTTATTTCTTCTACGCGAATTTAAAACGCGAATAGGAAAACGTTGTACCATACGATGTTCAAAACAGTAATTTCTCCCCGCGACAAGTCCCCGCGATATAGAATCATAATCGGAATCCCGCGGTTGATATTCATGCGGTAGTACGCGGAAGATATCGCGCTTCATCCCGTTGCGGGAAATTTAAGGAGACAGTGATACAGAGAGCGGCATTTCACGGCGGCGATGTGTCTCTTCGCGAGAGCATATCGTGAAAAGGAACGCGATGAGAAAAATCCGTTGGGGGATTTCAACCCTGGCTGGCCGTTTTCAGATATACGTATCGGAAACGGCAGACAACGATTGGACACGGATTGATCGCGGTGGTCGTTTTCTCCTTCTAGATCGATCTATCATCGATTGGACCGTCGCACACCGATGCGACAAAATGCACAAGCGCGGCTGCATCCGACTGTGTTGTTCCGTGAAAAGAGCGATCTCTGGAATAATAAAATGCGAACCTGCTAGCTTTTAGCTGCAACCGGTGTTTTCGTATACAACCGATGTATACGTGTAATACTCTCTGTATTTCCGTTTAAATCAGGCAAAATTCATGAGGGTGAAATTCACAAGCGCATTTCTTCTCATTATTTTTGCAACGTGTAAACTTGTACACGCAGATTAAAATTTGCAAAATTAACTAATTTATTTTCTAATTTAAAAATATTGTTGTCTGTCGATCGTAACGCGTTGATTAGCAAGACCATTGTTACTCTCGATACACAAGGGTATTCCTATGGATAATCCAGAAAATAACTGGCTATCGTTGTGAGCGTTGCTATAATTTTTTACAGTTTACAAACGCGCGGAGAAGGCAGCAATCGCGCGTATTTTTGTGGAAAAACAAAGTCGTCGCATCGGCGATTTTCCATATTTTTGTTGAAACCATCGACGCTTGATTCGAGGGTCTTAATCGTTCGTTTTTTCAAGTGGCGACCTCGATATTTTGATTCCGGTAACTTGTCGAACGATAGGATGGTTTTTTTCGAAAAATGTGCAGTTCTTTTGCGCGTTTCTTTTGCGAAAAATATATCACGTGTCGTATTCTGTTGAAAAAAGGCAGAAGTTACTTATACAAAGTAGACATATAAAACTTTTTTGTTTTCAGATTATTTTTCGAGTGAATAAAATATTATTTGAAAAATTTTACTCTGATTGTTTCTCACGTGCAGTTCTCATTTAGGTCAGTTTTTTAATTTCTGACGCGCAAGGGAGAACTGCGAGGGTGCATGCGACAAACGCGAGTGTATTTGGCGGTTCTAAGAACGGTTTCTAAAAGGTTGTCTGTTTGGCGCGCTCGTTTATTTTTCGCGCTCAAGGCACGTCGGTTTTATGATGGGAATTCATTCCCGTGCTGCGGGGAGAAGAAGAGGGTGCGCATGTGGTTCCAAGCAAGGTCTCCGTGCATGGCTGTCCGTACCTCTTCCTTCCTTTCTGCCCTACGTATGTTCCGACGGTTACGAGGCTCATTTTTCGACGCAAGCGTTTCCGGGCGACGTAGCGCATTGTCTGCATTTCGTGGCTCTTTCGTAGCCGTGAGATATCGACCCAAAAAGAAGACATATGTGTCAAAAAGAAAATGTGTAAAAAGAAAAGAAAACCTTCGCAACATTGACGACAAAAAATCGTTTTAATTTTAGAAATAAGTTTATTCAAATTTTCAAAGTAGTTTTTCTTTCATTCGCGCGGATATCGATTCGGCAACGATCCAATCAAAACAACTATTCGACAGCGACAAATTACAACCATAAATCGCGAATGTGTCGATTCGAGCGCGTCACTGTATTTCACTCGGGGAAAATTGCATCGAGAGACCAAGCGAGTGCAAGAAGTATCGAGTCGGTCTCGCAGAGCTGAGAGAGAGAACTCGAGACTGCCAGAGAGAAGGAAGTTCGAAGGAACTTTTTCGAGTCTTCCTTCTCTCGCTCTCTCAACTTCAGGCGACACCAACTTAGCTTTCACATTCCGGAACGAAGTTGCTTAACGGCGGTGACGACAGGAAGTAGGGATGAGTTTTCGAGTCTTCGGCAGTCACCGGAAGAAACTCTCTTCTCCTCGCGGCTTCTTTGGACATCCGGAACTTGACTTGCTCGCTCGCGCAATTACGTAGTCGATATCATGCAAATTCGTCGAACAATTCCGACCGCTGTGTTTTGATAAAATGCGAGAAAACTCGTACGCGTCGTGTCGCACGTGAACCGGAAACCTGTTTGACACTTTCGTAAGACGATTCGCGTCTTTTAACGTTTCCTCAAAGTTGAAAGCGACATTTGATAATGTGAGTGATATTTCCGTCTTTATCTCATCACCAATTGTGTATTTCAATAACGCTTACCCTGACGGGGGCGAAGATCTGGTCGAGCTTGATGTTCTCGAGACGATGCTCCTGTTCGCTCTTGTGCACCAGCTGCAAATGCGGCTGAAAGCGCGCTGGACAGAGAGTGCCGAGCGGCAACGGAGATGCCCATGGCGGTAAATGGGTCGGATCGTGATTGCCCAGCTCCCTGTAGAAGGTCTTCAGGAATCTGCAACGATAAGTTTCCAGAGAGAGATATTCAATCTGTGAACCATACGGAAATTCTTCGAGCGAAGTCAAAGAGCGAGGGGCTCGTCGGATTTCGGGGTATTTCAGGGACGGCGTGTAGGGTTGATGAAATAGTTTCGGCGAGCGAGATACACGGGAGTCGATGTGATTACTGAAATATTACATTGTTAAAGTGCATAAGAGAAACGCGAAGCGATAATAGCGCGATAAAAGTTTTACAATAAACCTCAACTCGAGCAGCTTTCATGTTGAAACATTGCTGTTATCGCGTGTGTTTCATTAGTACTATTGTCGACGTGTTAAATCTACAAGTTTGACAGACTCGATGAACAAGTGTAGATCGAGAATAGCAAGTTTGACGCAAAAGCTGTGTCAATTTAACACAAGTGATCTTCCATTTACCAAGACGATCGGTAAATTTCCCAAGACGACAAAATGGTGGTATGAGATGATGCATTCGTGTACAAGCTCTCGCCGTGGAGATTGATGGATCCTGCAGGAGAGAGCCCGCAGGGCTATGAAGGTAATCAGGAGAAGATGTCCCGACGGGAGGCGAGAAAGGAAAGCTCGCGAAGCTTTTACGACTTCCGGATGATCGGGCTTTAAAGCTTGTTCAGATTTTATGGAAGTCATTAGACCGGATATCAGTCTCGTACACGCGCTTCGCCAAACATTCCACTGGAAATTTAATTCGCACGCTCGAGCGCTTTTACATTCATGACATCAAATATCCGAATTATCTGTTTTAGAATATTAATTGAACGTAATCCATTCAAACCGAACTGTAAAATTTTAAGTAGTTACACTGTAATAATTATATCATGTAAACAAACACAAATATCTAACACTACTATTAAATTGACTACAAACAATTACGACGAAAAACAAAAATGTAACGACCGAGCAAAAATTAAATTCTGAATTGAAATCGAGATTAATTAAAACGTACAGCATTTCAAGGTAAACTCTCTCGTTGTACCGTACCGCGGTCTATATTTGTCCCGGTTGAAATTACCTTCGAGAGTGTCGTCTCATCCTGGGACAACGCAAACGTCGTTGCGAGTGTCGACGGGCAAAAACACGCCTAATGGAATTAGACTCTCTCGGAGCGGGCAAGACGATTCCGCCCCGGAGAAATAAGGATTCCGTCTCGTCGTCGCGCGCGCGAGAGAACTGCGAAGAACATCCGTACGTACGAACGCGACTCACCTTAACAGTCTTCCCAGGGGATCTCTTTCTGGGGATGTGGGCCCACCGGGACCACTTCCAGCGCCGAGTCTACGCGAGGACGCGCGCGCGCTCGATATGTATGCGGCCGGCGCGGGCGGCGGGCTGCAAGGCGGACAACAAACGGGGCTGCTGCCCCCCGGGGTTGAGAGAGTGTAACTCCTCTCTAGCTCCTGCAACAGACGTGAGAGAGAGGGGAAGTGCGGTGGTTATGCAACATCGAGGCTTTCTACAAGACGCGATCGAGTTACGTTCGAGAACTGAAGCTCGAAGCGCCGTTATGTCTAAATTATGCCTCAAATATATGTATCTATTATATATGATCAAATTCTAACAATTTCTAACATTTATTTGTGAAAATTTACACATTATCTCTTTAATAAACTAAGAAAAACTGTCATATGTTTATTAAATTAAGTAAAACGAGTTTGTAGTTAAAAGAGAGAGAAGTGTAAAATAAATCAATCATTTCAATAAACGCTATAATGCCAACGTAAAATACTAAACTACATAAAAAATGTCTGTCTTGTATTAATCTGTTCTACTAATTACATACATTAATTACTTCAGTCTCTGTAAATTCTTGTTATAAGGTAATGCATTTTCAGGTTGAAGACTAACATCGGACAGTTGGAATTGCGCGAGCAAACTTCTCTGCGAACGAATGACCGCGCGCGCTATATATTTGGAGGATTCTCACAATGGTGGTGCGCACGGAAAGTTCAAGACGCAGGTACGACCGAAGCGAAGAATCGAATTTACGATTTCGAAGGAGAGTCGTTCGCAAGAGCGAAGCACACGGCTCCGAGTAAGTATTTGATCCTCGCCGTTTTCGGCGGTCTAGTTAAACCCGAGGATTAAGTTTCGAGAAATTTTCAAGCGATTTTGCGAAGTCGGGCTTTACTGCGCGCGTGCGCGCGCGCGCACGCTTTCACGCTGTTAGCGGAACTTGGGGATTAAACTTCGGAAACTAGACTCTCGAGATTTACGAGAAAACTGATGCGCTGACGATGCCTCTCTTTCGAATTTAATTAACGCGTCGGTATCGGGTATTTTTCATCTCGTGTATTTGAAGAACAAACGATAAAAAACAGAAAAAAGATCTACTACACTATGTAATCACGTTCTTGTTTGCATGTACAACATTTTAATACTCTCTTTGTGCTACGTGTCAGAGACACCGTGTTTATTAACGAAGACACGTGTCATTAAATCGGAATTTTCATAAAATCTCCCGCGAGCACAGAATATGACTTGGATCGCGCGAGTCTGTTATTGTTCCCGAACGGAGAGGCAACTTTCGTTATTAACGCGCAACGTTTAACTTTCTGACACGACGGGATTCGAACGGAAATCAAAGCTTCTTTTCTCGTCAAGTTTCGCCAACAATTTCTAGGAATTTGCAGCAGCAAATCGGTGTTCGAAAGAGGGATCAGAAACTTTTCGGAACGACTAGTTTCTACGGTCGATCGGGCGCGATTTAAAGTATCGATCGGCTGCAACTAATCAGCATCCCCGGCTGCTCCGTAGTCGACGAATATTTCTTTAATTGCTTGGATATGTACGGCAATCCGCGCGCTTAAATGGAAAAAGTGATTCAAAGCTGCAGTGCAACTGAAATCTCGGACAAAGCAGTTAATCCGAAAAACAGTAACGTTTGTTTGCTTCGACAATTCCACTTATAATCCCTTTCTCTGCTTTATTCATGCAAAACATTTTTCCAGCGGAAAAATGTTACGTATCGAATAATGAATTAATTATAGCGGCTTTCACGTAAAGTTTCAATAAATCGGATTTTTTACCCGATCGTCAACGTCAGCTGATGGTGACACGTTCATAATGCGCATAAAGATGCATTTTATTTGAACTAAGAAGCGGAAGAGGACAGGGCTCGACGATTAAGCCTTGATAATCGCATTATTCTCGGATATTAATTCCGCTCGAAGGCAAGGCTGCTTGTAACGACCTTCACCGAGCCACGATGTTAATTGATGAAATGAAATAACGAACAAAGTAGAGATCTCTTTCTCGACCGTCGTCTCTTACTCAAGAATCCCATTAAGGTCTCGAAAATGATAGAACTTTTGCAATCCGATTACGAGAATAATAGTACGTCTTTATTAACGTGCCTCGCTACCTTTCATCTTTATATATTCCATCCTATCTGCTTTATGTCCGTTATGTACGCAAAATCCGTTCTTAGAAGACACGGATTTATTTATCGAAGAGTCTTAGAGTCCGTGCTCGTAGTAGAGAATTTTATTATTTTCGTACGGTTCAATACGGCGCTGTGTTCATTTATCAAAGTGACAATTTCACTAAACATATTAAAATCACGTTTAAATAGTTTTACCACGTAATACCTCGCGTAATCCGTTTCAGAATTTATATTAAATCATACCAGTCATTGTTCTCCCTATCAAAATTTCTCGGCATCCGTGTAACTTTTTGGTGAGGGATGAGTTTTCTGCCTCGAGCTAGAGGGGTTGTATGTACGTCTAAACCGGTTGTGCGGCGTGCACAATGGCCGTCGAATACCGCGAAACTATAATACCGGAACGGAACAGCAGTTACGAAACGATCGAGTCTCGAGCAGAAAGGGCGAATCCGTAAGGGCGAGTAGCGGCAGTAATTCAAGATAATTGCAGCTGTAGTAGAGACGACAAAGGGGTGTGTGCATGCCTTTATCGTTTTCAACGCGGGCACGCGCCTTCTCGCGGCCAGACAAAGAGAACCAGCTTTTCCTTCCTTCCTTCCTTTCGTCCTTCCCTTCTCGTATCTCCAGAAACGTTCCGCGAGAGAGGAAAATTACGCATCTACGTTCTCGTTAGCGCGTAAGATTACAGGCAACCGTCAAAATTATGCGAGCGGCGGCGAATATAACTCGCAACGACGAGGTGCGCGTCTCTCGGAGCGCGATACACACATCTGTGATACAACGGCGGCGCCTTGGAATTTACTTCGCAATTATCCACTGGTTACATTAGCCGTTGCTCCGGAATAACTGGCGCGGCTAAATTTTCCGGGTGCATCTAATAAAGTCATTACTATCTAATTAGGCGCGCGAGTCCATTACGAGGGCGATTTAAAGCGCGCATGTGCAGCCGCTCGACTCTGTGAAATATAAATGTGTCTAATAATTCTTTATACATCAGAGGACTGCTGCGTTTAAAACGGTCCTATAGTCATGTGTACTTCGAGAGAATTTATCGACATGCGTAAAATTTTTTTCCCTTTTGCACAATATTAACATGTTAATTGCTTTAATTTTGTTAGCATGTAAATATCGTCTAAATAGTAAAATCTCTGAGAACAAAGAGATCATTTGTGAGAGAACAATGTTACAATATAATATAATTCGGTTTCTCGTTATTATATCTAATCATTTTAATAATTGCTATGTCTTCTAGAAAACTTGATTTTTCTGGAAGATGTTGCTTTCAATATGCGCATTAATTTACTTATCGAGCGGTTGGTACAACGTTCGTTAATCTACGTGCAGATAAATTTTGGCCCGGCTCATTTGCATGTAGAGTAACGCGGTTATACCGTGCGTTCGCTGATTTGTTTAATTAATTAATCAGTTTCATCGTATTCATCGAGTCATTCATCGACAATATGTCGCGATCAAGTTTCGCCTGGCGTATTAAACCCGCGGTCTCCAACATCGAATATGTACGTCGCATAACTGATGAGAGAATATTCATAAAAGCATCACCGTCATAGCTAATATAGACATCGGCACGAAGATGTGTGTGTAATTGAAACCGAGTAATTAGTAAAGCGTTCTCGGCATATTTCGCATGCAGCGAATACATTTTGAAAATGCGCGCCTTAATTATCGCACAGTTGCGAAGAAAAAAACAAGTTGTTAGAAATAATTAAGGAATATTGCTTTATCTTGTATAACTAGTATTTTTGATTCTATTTCAGACAATAACAATTCTACATCGTGCATTGTGATTTTTTTTTATGCACGCGCAGTGTCCAGTCTTTTGTTAGAAAAACACAGACTGTAATAATTTGATCATTTAAATATAGACTCAATAGAAAGAAATGTGGCGAGACTCAACGCAAATCAATGCATGGCGCTCACACGCATGACGCGTACACAATGGGTACGGTAAAGATGCAGATTCACAAATAGAACAAACAAGCCATGCTATAAATAGAACGGAATGAACAACGCGAGAGATAAGAATCGAGAATGATAAGAGAGAGTTACGTCGAACTGGGAGAAGATAGACGTGTTCGAAGTTCCCTATATCACACGGTCGGAAGTTAATTTAATCCTGAACCAATTAAGTTAGATATAACGTCGAGTCTCTTGACGTCGCGGCAAACGCGCGCAGTTAACGGGCGCGTTAACCAGCGCCGCGTAAATTGGAAATTGGCCTCCCTGTCCA